AAGACTAGACTGGCAGTCCCATGTGAGGTTTAACGACACAACAGAATGTAAGACTAGACTGGCAGTCCCATGTGAGGTTTAACGACACAACAGAATGTAAGACTAGACTGGCAGTCCCATGTGAGGTTTAACGACACAACAGAATGTAAGACTAGACTGGCAGTCCCATGTGAGGTTTAACGACACAACAGAATGTAAGACTAGACTGGCAGTCCCATGTGAGGTTTAACGACACAACAGAATGTAAGACTAGACTGGCAGTCCCATGTGAGGTATAACAACACAACAGAATGTAAGACTAGACTGGCAGTCCCATGTGAGGTATAACAACACAACAGAATGTAAGAGTAGACTGCTAGTCCCATTTGGGGTATAACGACACAACAAAATATAGGACTAGACTGTCAGCTCCATGTGAGGTTTAACGGAACAAGAGCATAATCATAATAAGAGCCTCATGTTAATAACCTGGATTTGATCCATACATGATGAGGTTTTCGTAACTCATTATATCCCATTAAGTTGTTATTCATCGAAATCAACATGAATTAATTGTTGACTTACTCGGTTCTGTGTGGTTATAACTCGACCTAGATCAGATGCAAGAATTATTGATTAGTTTGAAAGAAAAACCCATTCGCAATTAAAACAAGTGAAATAAATAATTGTCTAATAATTAATGAATTAAATAGTTACTGAGTAAAAAATATGATCGACTTAGGCTGACACGCTTGAGTAGCTTTCCAACATTGTTTGTGCAACAAATCTAGCACAGTACTGTCAAATGGATACTGACCTCTGCTGTGTATGTATGGCATACATTTTGCTGTTTCTTGAATTCATTACTTTTCATTGCCTTGGTCATTAAATTAAATGTGTTAGTATTTAGACTACACCTTTCTGGATTAATCTATTGTAAATAGACATCATTAAGTCAACATTTAGGTCATTCACATACTCTTGTTACATTAATAATTGTTCTTGTAAGATTGTTCAGAGTGAAGCTCTGTTCAAGCTTTTGCGAAAGTTTGCGTTTTTTCTTTTTTCTTTTCATAACCAGTTAGTTAGAATGAGACCTGGTTCTTGTAAAAGACAGTTAATGTTTTATTCACGTGTTTTCTATACAAATGTTTGGACTAAATCTCGACAAGGGAAATTTTTTGACGCATACTCTCATTACAAAGTGTGTATCGAGCACTTGCGCAATAAATATTCTATAAAGTGCCAGTATATTTTGTTCGATTGCTTCTCTCTCTCTTCTCGTTCTCCATTTTGATCAGAATGTTTTATTTTTCGGCTCTAATATTTTATTTTTCAAATTTAAAAACAAAAAGTGAAAAACCCCTGTAAATACTACTGACACCTCGAATACACGGTGCTAGGTTGGCAAGAACCAAGTAATAACTGTGAATCTGCAACCACGATCAGACTGTGGCCAACCCTCCCTACCCCCCTTCCTTTCCAATCCCTAACGCCTCTTAACATGTTAGGGAGGGTTGGCCAGACTAGAGCACTATACTAGAAGCCAAAGAAGACTAAGAAACCAACACAGAACTGGTGTCGTGAGAAGCTTGACGCTGCGATGTTTAAATATCGGAGCACTTGTCGACGGAATGGTTTCAT